TATATTTTTAAAAAGGGATTGTTTTTGCTGCTGTCAATTATTAATGGCTCTCAGGTCAGGCTAAGGAACAATGCCAGGGATAAATTACCCTGTACACTATTCATATGTGCCCTCTGCAATTGTTTCCTTCTCAACTAGAGGATTCACCTCGCAGTGAACTCCTTGGCATTTGGAAAAAAAGGCCTGATGAAGCCATGAACTTGGAGTGCCCGTTTATTTATGCATCGACATCTTTCCTCCTTTGTCAGGTGTGTTTAATCAAAAAGAAGCAGGAAATGCGTTATAATTATAAACATATTACTGCGCAAGAAAAAGGCTGCCCTTGGAAAGGATTGTATTGTTTGATAAACGGTTACAGTGAAAAAACACAGGCTTAACCTACGAAGCTCTTTGCTAAGATCAAAGCAACGCTGCCTGTTACCACAGACTGTCTGTGCAGCAGGATTCAGCTCTGAGTTTGCAGCAAGGGAAGTGGAAGAAAGTTAAAAAGAAAACGCTATCTATCTCCTCCCTTCTTTTTTTTTTTTCCCCCTGAAACTTTTTCCCTAGTATAAAAAAATGACTCAAACATTAAATATTCGCTGTTAAAATTAATAGAATTAGCGATGAACCCGGCTGAGAACACAATAGAGCTGGGTCCAAAGCCCCTTGCTGAAGCCCATGGAGAGACTTATTGTTTTCAATGGGATCTGGCTCAGGACCCTGGTGAGCCAAAGCAAAGATGTAGTTATGGCATAACCCTGGGAGATCCTGGATCTCCCACAGTCTTTCCATGTGACCTTGCCCAAACTTGCAAGCATTCCTTAATCCCGAGCACAGCTGAACCCGAGTCAGTAATATGCTGCTGCTGTGAAAAGCAAATGTCCTTCTGGGCTGCGAGACTAGGAGCGCTGTAGGTAAGACACAGAAGGGGTTTATTGCCCTTCTCAGCAATGTGAGGTTGAGCCATGGCCCTGCACTTAAATAAATAAAAAACCCCCACAACCAAAACAACAGACAAACTGGAAATTGTCCAGAGGAGAGCAACAAAAATGATCAGAGGTCTAGAAAACATGACTTATGAGTAAAGATTGAAAGGGCTGGGTTTGTTTAGTCTACAGAACTTGAAACATCCTAATAAACTTCAAAGATGTACCAAAAAAATGATATCAAAAAGGGTAATCGATTGTTCTTTATCTCTGTGGGAATAGCAGAAGGTATAACAAACAAGTAGATAGTATTAAAAGCTGTGAGGTTAATAACACACTCAAGTATGTTACTTAGGGAGGGAGCAAAGTGTCTCTCATGGGAGATTTTCAATGCATGGGACAAGTACTTGCCACGAGGGACTGGGTAAGTCACTGTCCCGTGGAGCAGGCTGCTTTCAGCCACGTGGTCCTACAGTATCCATTGATCTAGTGACTATCTCGGGACACCTAAGAATGAGCCTTCACAGTCCTCTCTGATTTGAAAAAAAGCAGAAGGTGCTCAGCCCTTCCACAAATTGACCCCCAACCCAACGACCATTTGTAAAACCCCTCTTTTCCTTGGCTTCCATGCTTATTAACTAAAGAGCAATGAATTCCCACCTCTGCATGGGGCCATGATCGTATATGTGAAGTACCTTGCTGCTCTCCCATGGAGTATTCCCATCTAAGTGCGCACTCAAATGCTTGAATACTAGGATGATGAGACCTCTGGAAAAGCATGTGATGACTCAGAAAGTGTTCTGGGTAGCGATGGCCTCACAGCTCCTGCTCAGGAAAGTCCCCTTCTGACACTGGAGAAAGGGCTGCATTGGTGGACCCTTGCTAGAAGAGCTTTCACCCATAGCACCACTGGGTATGGCAACTGCAAAGCACTTGAGACAGTACCAGGTATTGCTCTAGGTGGGTCAAATGGTGGCCAGCACCTGATTAGAAAGGCAGCATCCCTTCTCTGGAGTACTGTGTCCAGTTCTGGGCTCCCCAGTTCAAGAAAGACAGGGAACTACTGGACAGAGTCCAGCAGAAGGCTATAAAGATGATTAAGGGACTGGACCATCTCTCGTATGAGGAAAGGCTGAGAGAGCTGGGGCTGTTTAGCCTGGAGAAGACTGAGAGGGCATCTCATCAATATTTACAAGTATCTAAAGGGTAGATGTCTAGAGGAAGGGGCCAGACTCTTTTCAGTTGTGCCCAGTGACAGGACAAGGGGCAACAGGCACAAACTGGAACACAGGAAGTTCCATCTGAACATGAGGAAAAGTGTCTTCCCTTTGAGGCTGACCGAGCACTGGGACAGGCTGCCCAGAGAGGTTGTGGAGTCTCCTTGTCTGGAGAGATTCAAATCCTACCTGGATGTGATCCTGTGCAACCTGCTCTAGGTGATCCTGCTTTAGCAGGGGGGTTGGACTAGATGATCTCCAGAGGTCCCTTCCAACCTCTACCGCTCTGTGATTCTGTGAAATCTCCCTGTAGTGCCTGCCCTGGGGCTGCCTGTCCCCTGCATGTGCTGCTGCCTCCCTGTGACCGAACAACTCTGCCGGCCCTCGTCTGCCTCGATAATGCTCAACACCGTTCACTGGCTTCAACCCTTTTTGCAAAGAGCTGCAAAAAGCTTTGGTCAGAGTTTGCATCAAAGCCAATAGACCACAAGACAGAAGTCTATCAGAAACCAGGCTTTGTATTTACTGCCCAGTGAACCCGGATTCCTCGAATTATGGGCAAGAGGTGAGGAGGTTTTGAAGGGAAGGATCAGAGGGTTGCAGCCAGAGCAGAGCTGGCCATAGTCCTTGGCATTTCTGGGGACTTGGGGTGACATGAGGGCTCCCCAAGGGCTGGGGGAAGGATGCTGTGTTCAACGCTGCTGTGACCGTGCCTCTTCTTTGCACTCAGCTACAGCTGCACAAGTACTATTTGGTCCCCACATGAATGCTGAGAAAATCACTAGTTATATGATATGGGAATTAAAAAAATCCATTTGCTTCCAAGTTATAACCAATGACTGTGGCAATGGTTGACAAACACAGGGTTATGGCCTCAAGTCAGCTTTTTTTCCTCGGTTCTGAGTACAGTCATGAGCCTGGCAGGAATCCGTGTCAGCTAAAATGTATGGCAGCAACTGCAGTCTCCTGGAGTTTTGGAGCTGAGTGGGGTCACAACAGGAAGGCGTTTGGGAAGGCGGCACTGTGGGGTTAGGAATAAACATCTCCCCAGGGCAGACTTTCCATAATTGGCCATGACAAGGCTTCTTTCTCCAGAGAACTGGAGCTGGCCTGTGAAGAAGCAGAATGAATCACTGCTCCGGTCCAATTTGGCAAGTGCTGTGATTTAGTCCTGCTTTGCACGGGGAGATGATGATATGGATTGAAAGACAGAGGAGAAACGTAGCCAAAGGCTTCTGAGCTGGGAGATGAGTTTGGGTTCCCACTCATATTTTGCAGGTTTACTCAGATCCTTAGAAGGAAACCCTGGCAAAAAATGCTGGGTTTTGGTTCCCTTTATCAACAATGCAGAGGGAACAATAGAGACTCCTGAACACAAAGCTCATACAAACAATAATAACCATTTTATTTTACATTGTTGCAATAGCAGTTGATATGCAATCCCTCGTTCCAGCCCCCCTCTTCACTAACTATTTTGTCTCCCTTCTGCTCCCAGGTACAGATTTATGGGAGGGGATCTTAGCGGTTGGAGCTGGTGTCCTGCAGCGTGGTGGTGACCATATGGCTGTGCAGCCTTCTGTGAGGAGGAGGGTTGAGCATGGTTTCCTCGTGCCACCCTGTACCCTCAGAAAAGTCCCACTTTCTTTCAGGTATGAGGAAAAGGGGGTGTTGTTTCTGCCATCCTTTCTCTGGATCGTGGTCACCAGTGCTATCTTAAAAGCTCCTTGCAATCTCAGCAATCTTACCAAGCCTGGTGACCTGACAGCAGTTCACAGCCTGTTCAGTATCTGATGATTAATCCCTTCCCTTTAAAAATATGAACTTAGTGGCAGAACCCCACAAAAATACTGGTGGAGCCAGAGCTGCTTTGCCAAGTGGCAAACTTAGACTTGCTCTTCTTGGAAAGCTGGTTTCCTGACACTGGCTTTCTCTCATCGCTGTTTTCCAGTGGTTTGGAGAGAGGAGGAAGGGAAAAAAAAAAATGTTCCTCCCAAATACCTCTTCTCTTTTACATCCTCTTTCCTCCATGTGTCCTCTCTGCTATTCCAGATTTCAGGAATTCCATCAGCCAAAAGGCTTCCTAACCAACCCCACTGCTATCCCCAAAGCAAAAGGAGAAGCAAGCTCCCTGCAAAACAAGATCTCTTGAAAAAGAAGACACAGACAATCTTCATTTCCATTCCCCCTTCTCCTGCTCCTTTGGAGAGTAGATGGATGGAACAAAAATCTTCCCTGCACCATGAAAGAGAGGTAGCTCAGAAAAGTCAAATTGCACCTTGTCACAATGTGAGAGTTCGGATCCAAGCATCAGACTTTTTCTAATTTCCAATTTGATGTTAGGAACATTAACACTTTATTTCTCATGAGATGACTACCATAGATAATGCAGGCAGTTGCTGCTGGGCTGGTTACAAGACTAGAGCTTGGGGCTCCCTATTCCAAATGCTCCCACTGCTCCGAATGGAAATGGTCTTTGTTCAACACTGAGCAGCAAAGGGCCATGGCATGCATGCTAACACAAATGCAAGTCACCCAGATCTTACTTTCCCCAGAGATACCAGCATTCCTATTCACCTTTCATTTTAAAGTCTGTACAAGGACAAATCCTGCACCAGGTTCTTACGTAGCATTTTTTTCCTGTTTTCTGAGACTCTGGGTAAGGTCTCTGGGACTTCAGCAGCACCACACGTGATTCCGGTCAGGTGAAAATGGCATGAGAACAAAGCTCATGACCTTTCTGGCAGAGCGCTTGGGAGATGACTAATGCTGCTGATGCCTTCAAGGTCAGGAGCTTGTAGGACTCCATGAGGATTCCCTGTCTGCTCTCTGCAGAGCAAAGCGGGTCCTTTCTGGGAAGGAAAGGACAAAATGTCATTTAGAGAAGGTTAGAACAGGGGACACACTGGAGTGTAAGGCACCCATGGTCAAAGAGCTTGTGTGGCAGTTTTCCCTTTGGTGTCCATGTGTCAGTCTCTGGGTCATAGCAGTCCAAGGAATCCAAGTCCTCAATGACATTGTCTGCAGTGAGACATCGTCCTCCTGTGACATACAGCTTGTTCTTGATGATGGTGGCTCCGTGATGCATTCGTCGGTCCTTCATGTCTGCACATTTAACAAACTTGTTGCCTTTTGTATCATAAGCAATTATTCTCCTGGTGTACCCTAAATGTGAAGCCAGAGGAGGAAGAGACAGATGGGAGTTTATTGCCAGCAGAAGGAGTAATAATGTATTTCCTGCTAGTCTTCAATAAAGCTTATTATAAAGGTACATAATTTGGCAGAATTAAGATATCTAAGCTGGGAAGTGATGATGTGTCACAAGAATGCCTATCTGTCTATCTTCTGTTCCTGTTTTTCCTTACCCTGTCTCATAGCACCTTGGCAGCCAAGGCTCGACAAGCACCATAAACCCCATCATATCAGGCAAGCAACCTGCCAAACACAGTTGGAGCTTGCAGTTTTCTGCATGAGCCTTCAAAGGTTCTGAAGTATTTCTTTTCACCTGACAGACTCCTAGAGCTTCACTTGGAAATACAGAAACCAATGGCACGTGGGGAAGGTGCAACAATGTCTTGTTGGGTTGGAGTCACAGCTGCCTACCGAATGGAGCTGCGTACTCAACAGCACTGGTGCTCACTCTGCTCCCACAGCCCTCAGCACCACATCTGTGGTGGCCACCATGCCAGTGACCCAATGGACAGCTCTTCCATTGAGGGGTGATGTAACCTCACATCTGCTGAGAGGTAAGGGCTGGTACCCGGGCCATTGCCCTGGAGCAATGGAGGTGTGGAAGCTTGGTACCCAGCAGTACCTTACCCATGTATCCCTGTAGATAATCAAGTGCCCATGGCAAACAAACTGTTTTGGGCCATGTTTTGCAGGCCTTGAAGCTACTTTCCCTAACAAAAATCAAGACCTGTCTTGTTTAGGCCAACCCACTCCCCTTTGTTATGATGTGACCAGTCATGCAAAGAGGATCTGAAATGTGATGAAAGCTATTTTTAAGAGAAAATGTTATTTTTGTGGGGTTTACTGTTGTTGATAAACCAAGAGTATTTGGCTAATGTTTTGGCACGGAAGCTGGTAATTAAAACCTGACCATGGTTAATTTCCCTACTTGCCCTTGGCTTCCTCCCTTCTTCTGCAGAGCAGTAATTTGGGTGGGTCCTGCTACCCAGAGTAAGAAGGTGCCCCATGGAGAACTTGACACCCCTTCCATGGCCATGAGACCCCCTAGGAGTTGTGTATGGAGGGTAGACACACTCTTCCTGTCCTTCCCAGGCTCCACAGGGCTTTTTTGGGACCACATCCTGCAGATGCTATTTGCCCCTGTAGCGTGATAGCCATGCTGAGCATTGGCACTTCTCACTGCCAGGTGGGCTGGCTGCGGCTCTGACCATCCCTGGCTGAAGCAGGGAGCACCCTGAGCAGGAAGGGTGAGAAATCCCGCAGGAGCTGGGCAGGGGCAGGCGGGAGTGAAGGCAAAACAGAGCCCTTACCTCCTACGATGATAATCTGGTCTCCAATCACAACAGCTGGTGCACAGACATTCTTCACCACTCTGGTTTCCATCCGAAACCACATATTCCTGGAGACATGGTAAACCTGACAAATAAATAAAGATATACACACAGCTGTTTATGTTGCATTTTAACTGGCAATTGTAATTACAGAGGAACTTACAGCTTTTATTTTCTCCTAATGAATACAATCCACTGGCCTGAGCTTCTGGAAACCTGAGAATTTACCCACTTCTTTTCCTAATATGTCCCCTTGGAAAGCGTTCTAGTTCTCCAGACTTCTCTGCTCAGGAGATGCTAGCACATGCACTAAAGCAGAGTGTATCATCTGCCATACACAAGCTGCTCAGCTGTAAATCTTTGCATGGCCATTAAATCACTGTAACTCCTGGATAATGCTCTCCCAAAGTGCAAGGCGTTTCATTTTATTTTCCAGTTATTCTGTGTATTCCTGCCTTAGTCTTAGCAATTTCCTGGACAAACAAACCTCAACTTCACCTAGCTTTGCTGGCAGCCACCATGTTTGCCCAGCTGCTGTATTTGTGCTGGTGGCTGGTATGAACTCAGATTAGCAAGGAGACTTGTTGATGGGATGTAGAGTGATATCTAAGTCATCAATTTATTTGAGAAAAAGAGTTCTTGCCAGATGATGATCAATCATCTGTATCTGGGAGACGCAAACTTTTTTGTCATGTCATCCACTACTTAATATAGTAAATACCTCCAAGACATCTCCCCACTAACTGATAAATACATTTCCTTCCCCCGATAATCAAGAGTGTTATCACCGCAAAGAAGTATTGCTTATGTGCTGGCTGAAACCTTGGCCTTTAATGATCTTTTTTAGTTAAAGCATCTAAGCCAGTAAAAAAAACAGTCATGGAGAAAGTAACACTACAACATCGTTAAAGCATCAGATCAGATAAGAATGGATTTCATGTATTTTTTCCTCCTAATAGAGTTTAACCGCTGAAAGCAGGCAGAGAGCCAGCAACATGTGGCAGGAGCCACATTTATAACACAACTGTTTATATGAAATAACTGTCAGTTTAAGTTCTGGCCTTTTGATGAGTGAGAATCTAATCACCCTAATGATCGCAAATCTTTGCTTTCACTGTGAGCGAGCAGGTGCGGAGCCGAGACCCCAGCTTGGCTGCCGAATGGAAAGCACTGATTTTGGTGAGATTGGCTACAGGCGTGAAGCCAGGCAGAGGGCTCAGCCGCTGCCTGCCACAGCATCACCTGCAGGAGCCCTGGCCGTACCATCAGAAACTCGCCAGCGGCAGAGCTGACTGGCACCAGAAGAACTGCCTCTGGGCTTGTGCCTGAAAACCACTCAAAGGCAAAAATAAAAGAGTTGCAAAGTTCCTTGCAGAGAAGACTTCCCTGAAGCCATGTGCCTGCTCATCCTGCCTCTTGCTGCAACTCACAATAAAGTTTTTTTGGGCGTTGATTTTCTCAGGAGGGTGACGAACTGCTGAATACCTTAGATGAAACTGCCTACAACAAGTAGGACTGACCATTACCTGGATCAGTCGGACAGGGTTTTGCATAATGTCTTCTCCCCCAAACAGGTAGACCCTCTGATCTTTGGCAGCAACAGCAGGGTGAAGGACGGCAACAGGCATGTTTGCCATGCTCTCACAGGTGTTGTAGATGCTATCATATCTTTCCACAGAATTCAGGATTTCCTGGTTTTCACCAATTCCACCAAATGATAAAATATAATTTTTATATGCCAAGCTTCTGTGGGAGTAACGTGGAACTAACATGGGCTCAACCAACCTCCACTGATTGAGTTTGAGGGAATAAATGTAAATATTATCACTGACAGGGCTTTTCTTATTGCTAACAGGCATCCCTCCGAGCACATAAATATTGCTGTGTAAGCTCACTGCTGAAGCTTTGTACAGGCGCATGGGAAGTTTGGCCAGGCTTAGCCATTGGTTGGTCTTGTCATCGTAGAGCAGGACATCTCTCGTGGTCTGCTGACTGTCCTTTCTGCCACCAATGATGATGAGGAACTCTTGGTTGGAGTACCTGCGGGGAACATGCAACATGGGCTTGATGTCAGGTGTGTTGGTGCTGTACAAGGAAAACATATGTCTCCGGACTGACTCAAGGATGCTCCTGCAAGTGGGCGAGGACTGAACAAGGGAGTCATTGGCAATGAAGTGGAAGAGGAAAGTTGGATGGACATACTGAAGCCGGACCTTCTTGAACAACTCTTGGATGTAACGTTGTCTTGCCTGGAGGTCATGCCGGATCCAGACCATCAGTGTCTCAAAGACCTGCTCCTCCTCCCCACAGAGCTCATCGTCCCCAAGGTAATCGATGAGCTCCAAGGGACAAAGGTCCTTCAGGTCCTCAGAAGAGGCCACCTCAGGAAAGCATTTCAAAGCCATAGCCTTGGCTTTTTTATTCAGGTTTTGGCAGTTCAAGACTTTTGCGAGTCTGATCATGCTTAGACAGTTGTCAGGAGTCAGCCTGTCTTGGAGGTAGGCAGAGCAGGCCTCAAACAGCTTAGTGTACTGCAGCATGGAGGCCGTCTCCAAGAGGCACAGTACATTCTCGGCAGATATAAGAATCTCCCCCGTGTAAATGTAAAGGATAATCTGATCCAAAATCTCAGCGTCAATGCCTTTCAGGATGACTTTAGCCTGGCGACTCTCTCTGAAGTTGTTACAAAACATCGCCTTGAAGTAGGGACTGCTGGAAGCCAGCACGTTTCGGTGGCAGGGGATTTCAAAGCCCCCAGAGCAGAGGGTAACATCAGTCAGCATCCCACTCTGCCGCAGAGCATTCAGCTGCCTCAGCAGTTCAGAGGAGAAGTCCTGGTCTTTGAAGAGAAACTCCTCAGTGGATCTTTCCTCCATAGCAAACTAGGAGAGAGATGAAGTCTGGACTTGGCAGGAAAAAACCCCAAATTCTTAGCAGCTTTTATTGAAATATCCAGCTCCAAGGGAACAAATCAGGACTTTGATGTTGCTCTAAATATCCGTTCACTGTTATGCATAAAAATGGAACATGGGTTAAGCACAGTGGGAAAATAATAAAGAAGCTAAAAGGTCGCTAAGACACTTTAAAATTTTCATAAAGTTATCAGATAGGTTGCAGCTCTGAGGTCAGCACTGCCTGTGTCCCTGGCAAGAAGCAAAAGCACTGAAGTTATCTCACTGATTTGGGATGAAAGCTGAACGGCCGAAGCAATTGGTTTGTTCATTTTAATCACGTCGAATAAATGTGCTTAGACATTTATTCACTATTTTAAAGTATTAGCAGTTTAGTAGCTTGCGCCTCTTTCCCCTAGAGTTAGTCACTCCCAAAGAATGTAAATCTGGCAGAGCTGAACTCTGCAGCAGGGAAAACGAAACCCTAGAGACAGGGAATCTGCATTAAAATGGTTATTTATTAACTCTGCTTAGCTGTTGTTTTCTTTTATGTTAATCAGACACACAATGACGAAATTAAGTGCCAGGCAGAACAATATGAGTATCTATTGTCATGGCTAACTGCTCAACCTGCAGTGAAACGTAGGGTAGAAACATTTACCTTCTGTTGTCCTTCACTGCATGCACTTACTCTCTGCCGTTTATTCTCTGCTGGGATTTTCCATAGCTAGAGCCTGGATAAAAACCTATAAACCCACAGGACGTTTCTTTCAGTAGGTAAGTGATTCATAGAGGGTGATTTCTGGATGTGTTTATTCTGAAGTCACTTTTGCCGCTTTCGGGAGCTGTGTGCAGGAGTGGCGAGGCGGTGGGGCATTGTATACATTCCAGCGCTAAGAATAGGCGCGCACGGGCTTCTCGCTGTTATCACATGTGACGCCGCCGTTGCCTTTTGCAATGACCTGACCAGTACTGAGCATGCCCGAGTGGTGTTTTTCTGGCAAATGTTTACATATAATAAATAGACACGAAGAGGAAAGTTCACTTATAAAAGTCCTGGCCGTCTGTTTGGAAACAGTGGCAGGACCCTGTCCTAAAGTGCCTGGGAACTCTAGAAGCCTGTAAACAGTCTGCAATGCTTTGCGCTAGGTAATGCACTGTCACGGTGCTTTCATGGAGGAAGAGGGAGAGAGAAAGGCTTCCAGGGACCTTGGTAGGATGGACCATGTCTCCACTTTAGGGAGAGATCTGGGGAGCATCGGCTCATTGCAGTCTGGTGGGAGAGGCTGATACACCGGGACCCTGCACCCAGGGCTGCCCCAAGGTGGGCAGGGAGACCCTGGCTACCTCTGCCAAGCAGGGAACAAAATTCACTCTTGGAGCAATTTATCTTTATGATGCTACTCGATATTTCATAGAAATAACCAGGTTATGGCCTTTTGTGTAAGGACGTCAGCTCTCTGAAACCCTTAGAAAGAACTTCTCAAGCAGGTGGTTTGAGGAAGCTCAGAGTTACAGGTGGGAGGACTGGAGCAGGTTGCCGAAGTGAGTGCAGAAAACTGGAACCTGGGGTCCCAGGGTAGCAAGTCCCAGGGTGGCACTCAGCTCCCCAGGGTAGACACCATGATGGGGTTTCTAACTGAAGATGCCTGCATGTGAACAAAGAGTCTGAGCTCCTTTTGCAGCCAGTGAGGTCTAGTCAATACAACTGAGTCTGTCAAGTTATTCAGGTCACCAGTAAGTACCACCTATATTTGGGCAGGTGAACAGTCCTCCAGACACTGCTAAGTCTCCACGGGTGCTCAGCTGCCTCAATCACATGTAGGTGTCCCATGTAAGTATTTGCTATGACGAGCCTAAATCCATCCCCAAGGCTGGGATCAGTCAAGTGCCTCATGCCAGCAGAGGATCCTCCACAACCCCAGCTGGCCCCCGGCCGGGGTCTCCAGCAGATCCAATGTGGTGTGTTCCAGATCTGTGCCAATTTACTGGGTGTTTCAAGCAAAATGCATTGGCTGTCCATGCCTGGGTAACTGGATTGGGCCCCTCATCTGTGCTGAAATTCCTCCCTTTGTTCTGGGATGGGACTGAATCCAAAATGGCGTTTCTAAGCATCGCTACTGCAGGGAAACACAAGGTTAAAGCAGAACTCCTTCTCATATTTTCAAAGCCTAAGCTCATGGGTGAGTCATGTCTGCGTCTAGTCACAGCGAGGCAGATGAGCAAAAATCGTTGGGAGCCATGGTGCCCTATGTCAGCTCCTGTGCCACGCTGGTGTTTGCTGTCCTCCATATGTTCCTGCCCCCACGTCCGCGGCGCAGCAGGGATGGGGGCAGCTTGTTTCTCTGAAAACAGCAGCTTTGCATCACGGGTCATGCTCTACATGGCCTTTCCCAGAGACTTTTCAATGCAGCATAACAACATGGTGAAATGCCTGAAGGCTAGACAAAACCCTGGAGGCCCAGACCCGTGTTAAAGACAGGATGGGGTTGGGCTGGCATAGCTTTTTGGAGGCTGTAGCATCTTCCTTTCCTGCACAATCTGTGCGTGTTTGTGCACACGTGTGTGAGGATGGCCAGACAAGGTGAGGGAGGGGAAGGGCAGGAGCCACTGGACTTGACTCCTGCAGATGAGTCACTTTGAGGGTAAACATGGCAATGTGCAGGCTCTTCTCTCTCCTCGACTAGAGACGACCTGGAGGATGATGTTGGGGCACTGGGGAAAACGCGCTTTCCCCTCCTTACTCCCAACCGCCGCTGCCTCACCAGCTGGCCATGATCTTGCTATAAATATTTAGAGTGGCATTAAAAACCCAAAGGAGAATTTCTCTCTCCTCATCCAGAGAACATTAGCTACCCAAACAAAACGCCCTCTCGCTTTCTTTCTTGCTCTGTATGTATATGCTCTCGTTGCGGTCCGTTTTGATGATTGATTTCGCTTTATATCTCTGTTCTGGCTCTAACTCGTTGCTGCCTGTTTAGTTCTGCCTCTTCCTGGCAGTGGTTTGGATTATTTTTTTTAACCCTTAAAGAAACAAATGATGCTATCTGACTTCACTAACGACACTGTTTTATGGGGTCGGGGAAGGGTAGGTGGGATGTTCTCCTGCTTTAGATACTGATGAATGTGGCATTTATTTAGAAGATCCCAGGCTTGAGGGCTTTGCATGGTTATGCAAAATCCTGCTAACCCAGAGTACAGCGTGTGCTATTTAAATAGCTTATTGCTCTTGGGGGGGTTGCGGTTCCCTGCTGAGTCCCCACACAGGTCCCTGCCAATTCGGGGCCAAGGCTCCCAAGCAACGGATCTCGTGCTGCCTGCTTTACGACTCTCTTTTCTTTCTTTCCCAGAGATTATGGTTTCAGACACATCTCCAACCAAATGCGCACATCAGCACTGCTTAGTTAGGATTTCCTTTATAAATAAACTAGAAATAATTTTTCATGGCATATCCTAGAACAGTATGTCCTATACGGCCCCTACTGCTGCAGCGTGACCTCCAGTGAGAGGGAAGAGGTGTTTCTTCTGTGAGACAGTGTAACTTGTCTGAGAAAGTCTGTTTTTGAATGAGTTCTTGACGCAGGTTTCCTAAGTTGGCGTGCTACAGACAGAACCAGGTCTGAGCAGTCTTTTTTGGGAGAACAAGGTGGTGCATTAACAATGGGAGCAGGATGTTGCATGGGCTGGTCTGACCACTATGTGCAAGTGGGAAAGTGGCCTGGTTCGCAGGTTACGTGACCCAGCAGCACCGTGGGACGTGATGCTGCAGGTCCCCCATAGCCCTGGAGCGGGGCTGGAGCCCTTGGGGGCTCGTGAAGACAGCGACCCTCTGCAACTGCTGCTGGACAAACTCCATCAATGGCCAGTTTCTAGAAAATGGAAATGTCTACTGAAGAACGACTTTGCTGCAATGCTGTATACTTATGCTTCTGCTCCTTCTGCTCTCTCTCCTTAAGTGTTTGGGATTGCTCAGTTTTGGAATTAGGATGGTTGAACCTTTGATCTGACCCAGAGCAGTTCTTCTTATGCTTTAATGTAATGGGATGATGAAATGTCTATTATCATGCACTAAGCAACAGAGCGTAAAAAAGCTGTAATCTAATCAGCCAGCAGACAGGTGCACAGAGAAGATCGGTGATGTCAGACAACTTCTACAACTTATACACTGATCCTATTACAATTCAGGTGAAAATGAACAAATACGGATAAGGAAAAAAGGACTGTTCAAGGCAGAGACTTCACTGAGCTTATTCAGTGTTATGTGCGCTGCCTCAATGACTACCAGGCCACACATGTATCAAGAGAGAGATCATTCCTTTCCCCAAATTCGCAGTCTAAATAGTCAGGGGGACAAGAAAAAATATTCCTTATTATGGTCTTTATAAAGCTGGGAGAGGGAATAAAACCCAGGGTTAACATTCCTCACTGTAAAAAGAGACAATTACAGGGATCATAATTAATCAGATGCCATGAGTTGGAGAGGATGGGAAGATGCCCCAAGCAGCAGTGGTGGCTGGCTGGGGTGACAGTCTTCAGCCCAGGAGGGGAGAGCAGCTAGTGCTGCCTGGGATGCTGCATGCCCTGACAGTGCAGAGCCTGGTCGGTGGCCCCGAGCAGGGTAAGATGGGCACCTAACACCATTTTGCTTATTATAAGCTGGAGGGAAGAGAAATAAGGGAGTAGAAAGGAAGCCTAATATGTGGGGGAATTATTAGATTTTTATATAGCATATTTACACATGCCTGTAAACGTATGTAATGAATATGCACATTGAAAGATAAGTCTATACTAGCAAATTACTATCAAGAGATAGCATGGATAGGGATCTTTCTACTCAACATGTATGTCAGTATATCTCACTCAGCTGATAACACCACCAGGAGACCTAACTCCACATGTGAAGTCTGGGCCAGACCTGTAAGGGAGATGTTTCCCCACACCCAGCACCCAGTTTTGGACACATTCCGATACTCCCCACTGAAGCA